AGAGTGGGGGATGATACGCACGGTAGTCTGCGGGGACAGAGAAGTAGGTCACACCACGCGTGCTTGGCTAGGGGGTGGGGCTGAAACAACAAGCGCTGCCATGCACACACACACACACACACACACACACACACACACACACACACACACACACACACACAGGTGCTCGCGCAGAGCACCCACCGCCGACAAGCGCGGCGCCAACACGAGAGTGAAAGAAATGGCCTGGCGTGGAGGTGAGGCTGCTCGTCACAGGTCGGTCAGCGAGACTCTCTTGCGGGGTTGAAAACTCTAAACGCGCCCGCGTGAAATGTGTTGTTACTGTTTGTTGGAGTTGTTGCAGTAGTTTGTACGTCTTACTGCCCGGATTACCTGTTGCCCTGCTGCTTGCGAGCCGCGGCGCCGGGCAGACGCACCAGCCCGCTGGGCGAGGCGGCCTCGGTGGGGAAGAAGGTGGCGCCGTAGAAGTCGAGCCCGTTCTGCAGCAGGATGTTGTACTCGTCGAGGTTGGCCAGGGTGACGCGGATGAGCGGCGGCGGCCCGGCCGAGCCCAGCTCCACCGTGGACCCGCTCACCGTCGAGCCGACGGCCTTCTCCACCGCCTTGGAGGACGCGGCAGCGCCGCCGCCGCCACCTGCAGGACACGCACGCCATCACGACGGGGTTTCAGCTACACCTGTTGGAGCGCGCGGCCGGGCGTCTCGCTCAACTGTGTTTTAATGTCCCAAGGATTTCTGCCCTACCCCTTTCCCCCTTTCCACACTCTCCCTCTCTTTCACCTCGCTCGCTGCGCTATGGGCGACTGGGAAAATTTGCATGCGGAAAATGAAATGAGAGGGCGGTTGGTGAGGTTCACCTGTAGCGTTTTAGGCGTTACTGCGCCAGAAGGGCGAGCCTCTTTTTATCTTTACTGTTTTTATTAATTAATCCGATAATCGGCCATTTAACGAATCCAAACAGTGATTACGGGATCGTTTCCTGTATTCTGTTCTTTTGGTGATGCAGGGAGTTCGGGCGTTGGAGGGGTACGGAATCTCGTTATTGTAACGACGGGCTTTCCAGTCGTCGTGGCAGCAGAGAGCGCGAGGTCAAATGGAAATGGGTTGCATAAACAGATTATTATTGAAGAAAAAATGAATGCTTACTTGAGTCCTTTTGCAGTGTGAGCTGCTGCGGCCCTCCCGTGCCCACCAGGCGGACCACTTCCACGACCGAATGGAATTTGTAGAGGGCGTGGCGAATGTCCTCCTCGGGCACTTCCTCCGGCACTTCCAGCACGAACACCGTGAACGTCTTCTGCGGCCGGCAGGGGATCGGGATCTGCGGGCAGCAGGGCATCGTGGTGCCGTGAGACGCGGCGTGGCCCGGCGGCCGGGGGCCGGGGCTAGGCGTTCAGGCAATCACCCGAGCGTATCGTGAATACTGCACTCGACCGCGGCCTGTCGACCCGCCCTGCCCGCCAGACACAGAGAGAGAGAGAGAGAGAGAGAGAGAGAGAGAGACTACGCCCTCGCCTCCCAGAGACGGCCACAATCGTCATAACGCTCAGGAAGGGCCGGGTCCCGCCCCATATCCGCTCAGCGCGAACCTGAAATCCGACCCACTGCGGATGCACTAAAACGACGTGATGGACTCCACCCCGCTTTGCTGCACGTACAAAAATATAAATATCGCTGTGACTCTTTCACGTTTTCATTTTATTTTGAGTGTAGTAGCTCTCTTTCCCTCAATGCAATCCCATCTGATTTGACAGGCTAGCTTTTACAACATCGATAACTCGTATTTAGTGAACTGAAAGCAAAACTCACAAAGTCGCACCGGTATCAGAACCATCACGTTTGATCGGATTATTTGCCCACTGACTACCACGGACGACGGTCGACATCGGTTCGGTTGCTTTACTCACTTTCTTGTAGAAGCGCGCCCCGGTCACTTTATGGAAGCCCTTCTTGAAGGTGGCCATGAAGTCCTCGGGGCGCGCGAACTTGAACAGGATCCCCGTGGCGGTCTTGGTGAGCGAGAAGGGCGCGTTGAAGTTCATCCTCTCGCAGATGGCGGACGCCTTCTCCAGACTCAGCTCGTGGCTGGGCGTGAGCAGGAAGGCCCCCTTGGCCAGGAAGTGCTCGGCGTCCGAGACCTCCGAGTCCGAGTCGATGTCCGAGGGCCCCGTCCTGATGCCGTCGCCAAACGAGTCCTGCTGGCAGAGCGGGGCTGCAGGACTCTCGAGGGGACGAGCGGGACAATTGGCCAGGGAAAAATATCGACGAGTTGCAAAACTAGGTCCGAGGGGAAGGTGAAGTCCCAAGTCCCTCGAGAGACACGGGTCTGTGCGTCGCGCTGCGTGTCGCGGCGGGCGTCACGCGGCGTCACTTCATTGTGGGTGATTAATTATTAGCTAAATGGAGTGCCTCGCCTCGGCCAAAGATTCCTTTTTTTGTCATCTCGTCCCCTCGCTTTGTTTTTGTCTCTTCCCTTGAGACAACGAGGCGAAGAGGGAAGGAAAAGAGGGACGCGGGAAATCATGACGCGAAGACGATTTTTATTCTCTGGGACGACAGAAAAATGAAGGAAAATCTTAAAACTCTGACAGGGCCGCAACCCTTTATAGCCACGCTCCCCTTCCCTCCGAGCCCCCTGGCACCAGCAGCTCCCCTTGGCACGGTTTGGAACGCCCCGTTCGCTCTCTATCCCTGCCTCCATCGCGCTCCCTTCATCTCGGCAGCGCTCTCTCTCTCTCTCTCTCTCTCTCTCTCTCTCTCTCTCTCTCTCTCTCTCTCTCTTCCCGCCCTACCCCTGCAATTACTGACATCATTACCATCCCATCAGATTCTCCAGACGGATGGGCGCCCCAGTAGGGAGGATTAGAAGGGGAGGCGTTGCTGTGGCCGCTGCTGGCTGGCGCGGCCGTTGTAGCGAGTATGAAAAATTCGGTCCGAGAGAGGGATCGTGAGCGTCGTGCTTTTAGGATTAGTCGCCGCCCGCTCCGCTCCTCACCTGGTGGTGCGACGGCTGCTGGTTGATCCGCATCATGGCTGACTTCCTGGACGGTTGGTGCGGCGGCGCTGGCGGCGCCCTGCGCATGGGGGGCTTCGAGGTCGGCTTGGTCGGTGGGGCGGTGGGCCGCTTCGCGGTGACGGGCAGCCTGCTCTTGGCCGGCGCGCTGTCTTGGACGCGGGGCTGCGGCGGCGGGGTCTTGTCGTTTGAGACCTGCTGGTCCGGGTCGGCGACAGTCGCAGCCGCCTGCTCCGTTTGCTCCTGGTCCTTGTCGGGGTCCGCCTGATCCGGCTCGTCCTCTGTGGGGATGTGGTTGTCCTTGACAGGGCCCTCGGTTTGTTGGTCGTCGTCGTCGGCGTCCTCGTCGTCGTCGTCAGGCAGGTCGGGCGGGCAGACCTGTGCCTCGATGTCCTCCTGCACGGCGTCGTGGACGGGGTCCTGGGTCACCTGCTGCTCGCGGCCGTCCTGGTCGGCGACTGGCTGCCGCTCCGCGCTGCTGCCTGGGGCGCCGCCTGCTTCCATTTTCTGAGTCGCCCACGCGCACCCGGGCAGCCCGCCGTCATCGGCCCTGTCACTGGGCACGGCCCCGCCGGGGCCTGCCGGGGCCCGCGTCCTTGGCGTCCCGGGAGTGTTTGGGTGGAGTTACAGATGGGCCTCCAGATTGGTTGGCACAAACGCGGTCCTAAGTCGCTCAGCTCGCAGGGCCCCCGCGGCCCCCGCGGCCTCCTTCCACTAGGGAACACTTACTTGCATTGTTTTGGAAGGAAGTCCCCTGGCGCGCCTCGCCTGCTACTCGCCCGCTCTCCCTCCCACTACCTATTCCCGGAGGAGGACCTCAGCCCATCTCCCCGTCTCTCCCCGTCTCTCTCTCTCTCTCTCTCTCTCTCTCTCTCTCTCTCTCTCTCTCTCCCACCTCTCTCCATGTTAGCCCCTTCCCCGTTCCCTCCCCGGCGTCGCATCTCATTCCATATCATGGCATAGCACCGCGTGGCGTGGCGCCACATAGCGCCGCTCCGCGCTGTTTAGTTCGCCCAGCTCGCTTGTTGAGCCTCGCCTCGCCCCGCCCTGCCCCGCCCCGCCCCGCCCCACCCCGCGTCACCCCGCCTCACCCCGTCACGCCCTGCTCCGCCTCACTACGCCCCGCCCCGCCCAGCCCTTCCTTGTCGCAACCCGATCGGATGGACCGCGGCCGCTAACTTCCCACAAGTAGAGATTTGACGGTACAATGATACATCCTAAAAAGTAATAAGAAGTGAAAAACCTGGAACCGATTTTTTTGTGGTTTCACGCAATATGTTAAGTAAATTTCAGACAGCGTCCAGAACATTATTTTTAGTTGGAAGCTTAGACGTCTCGAGGACGACGATTATACACCTGTCGGATTAAGTCACATGGTTTAGTTGAATCTCTCCTCTCTCGCGTTCTCCTCCCTCGACCCTTCCCATCCCCCCCTAATCTTAAAGTGTGCAGTCTTCCTCTCTTTTCCATCTTTCCTTCTATCTCTTTCTCTCTCCCAGTTAGAAAGGCCCTGTTTCTCGTCACGCTGCCGTTTTTACATTCCCTCTCCCATTAATCAAACGGATCCCCACTTTTTACTGTCACCTCCGAATCCATTTATATTTGCGTTCCCGGAGAGCTGGTCACGATCATATTGTCTCTTTTTTCCGTTTGCCGTTCTCCTTTCTCTACGCAAAGATTAGCAGGCAGCAGTGGGTCTAGAGAAATATCTCGGGTTCACAAATTTTGCGCACACTTAATTCTTATGAAATTTTAAAATCATAGCCTACTGATTTCGGTCAACATCAACGCTAACGCTTTTTTAATCCGCTGGTATTAACAAAAGTACGTCATACTTTAGTTCTCAATGCGGAGGCAGTGCATGCTGACAAAAATCCATATAAGCTACAAATGAAAGAGTTCATAAGATTTTAGTGTGAAGAATTTTTAATTGTTATGACTGTGAAAGTTGTCCAGGCAGATAGCGGAGGAAACCGGCATGATTTTCACATTTGAGAGGGGGGACTGCAAGGTACCATTTTCTTTCCTTAAGTACTTCTGAATCATTCCAGGAGAGCAAACTCAACACTCGCCCTCTGCAGGGTAAATCGGTTTGCAAGTCGGTGGTGTGGCGGCGCAGTAGTCCGCGGCCCTATGGGCATCGCGTCGCGGGGGTGAGTGGGGCTCGCAGAGCGCTGGGGCAGCCAACCGCCAACCCCCTGACGTCGACAGCCATTAGTTAATTCGACAAAAATACATTAAAACGCGAGAAGCGCTTCCGGGTGGCCACCCCGGCCCCGGCGGAGGCCTGGCCCCCGGCCCCACCCTGCCATACAGAGAACCCAGGTCGACAGTCTTCGCCGAAAATTTGCATATAGATTGGGGCACCCTGCCGTCGGCCAGCACTCGTAAAATTTAATCGCCAAGAATGATGGTTCTCTTTTATGGGCTACAACAACGACGAGGACGACGACGACGACCGACATTTGTAATAAAACTCAACGGGTTTTAATTTATGCATCGTGTGATTTTCGGCGCGTTTCGCAGCTTCTTATTTTTCTAATTCTTCTCCTCACTCACCCCCACTACTGATTTTTTGCCGCCCTTAGTCAGTACTCATGTTAGGTTTTTGTGCAGCAGAAATACTGACTATAGTTTTCTATCAGTAAAACGGATAAATTCCTCTGTACTTTACTGACAATTTGATTTTTTATCAGTATATATTGAACGTTGAACGAAACTATACGTAATAATTGACAAATTGATCAGTAATTCCGTCTGCACTGATAAACCAAGTGTACAACTGCTCAACACATGTAAGTGTTCAACTCTCCTGTTGTACACTTCACTAGATCGGGCGCTTACTGTGAAGGAAGTGTTCAACAGAGGAGTTGCACACTTACAAGTGCACAAATACCGAGTTGAACACTTGCAGGTGTACTACAACTAGGTAGATGTACGCCAGACCACGTCTCGCGTAACAGGCTTCGCGATATCTCACGAAACGCTGTGACGCTCCTGGAATACATCTACCTAGGCCTATGCGGCGCTGACACCCAAGTCGGGCAAAAGGTAGATTCGTAAATGGGCCTTTGGCCCCAAAAGTCGCAAATTTTCTTCTTGGGGTTTTAATTCGACGTGTAACCCCACCACCAGACATCAAATATCTGAGAAAAAACATTAAAATGTTTTTCGGTCATTTCCCCGTGAAGAATTCCTTCTGGCGCCTGAACGGTTAGAGATAGAGCCAAACGGACGAAATTTTTGGGCTATGGTTTCTACTTCACCGAGTTACCTCTCAGAAAGATTTGATAAAATATTTTGCAAAAGAAATTTCTGGGGCTTTTTGTTGCTGATTTTTTTTGTCACGTCAATTTTTGAGCTAGAGTTCTCAAAACAAGTGTTGAGTGCATTTGTAAGAGTTCAGCCAGTGTGTAGATAATTCTACGTTTTAACTGACAAAAAAATCAGTACAGGTCTTTTCTCCCTGTCGTCACTCCGAGGGAAAGCGATGCAGTGCATTCATGGAGGCCATATCGCACTATTACTGTCGGCTACTTCTGACATGAGGAGAGAGAGAGGAAGGAGGAGGATGCCGTCGCTGTCACTTTTGGTGGGAAATTGGAAGTGGACGCTCCACTCGCTCCGCTCCTGAGTGGCCAGGCGCCGTTGGCTCCCACCATTGGCCGGTCGCCCTAGCCTGGCCCAGCTGCAGTGGCGCACAGAGGCGGCTCCACTCTGTAATATGGTCTTTACGCTTGCAGCCAGCGCCGCCCCCGCGCAGCTTCCACCGATTCGCCGCTTTCTCTGGATTGGAGCGGCGCGGGGGTCTCCGTGCATCGTGCGTGGGACGTGTGACTTTCTCTCTCTCTCTCTCTCTCTCTCTCTCTCTCTCTCTCTCTCTCTCTCTCTCTCTCTCTTCTCCCTCCCTCCCTCCCTCCCTCTCTCTCTCTGTCTCATCTCACACCACCACATAGGAGGTAAGTTGAGCAGCATCATACGAGGAAGAGGAAGAGAGAGCGAGATAGCGCGCGCGAGAGAGAAAGAAAACGAGGGTAGTGGAAAAGGGGGTTGAATGAAGACGGAGATACTGTACAGCAGGGGGGCGCTCGCTCGCGCAGGTTGCTTGTTCCGTGACGTAAACGCTGAGCCGAGCCGAAGCCCAGGCGAGGTCGGCGTGTCGCTCGAGGAGAGGGAGACTTCTCCTTTTACGACCACCAGGCGATCCGAGCCATCTGCCTTGATTGACTCTAGGGAAGGGGGGCGGAGGGAAGGGTGCAGTGCGCGCACCCTCCGCTCCCTACCGAACTACTGCTCGGCCCCCCGAACTCCATCCGATCGTTCACATCGCATCGCTCACGTCATAACCTGATAACCACTGCGTTTCGGAAGCTTGGAGTGCCCAGCGGCGGGGGCAGGGCGACTGTGGCGCCCCAATATGGTTGCGACAGATGGGTCGGGCTGGGCTTTGGCTTGACGGGGAAGCAGAACAGCAGCGGCCAAAAGACCCCCACAGCGGACACGCAGTGTTTGCCCGCGTGCCTCTTTCTTGTCTGCGACGCAACGGAGCGCATCTGTTTTAACAAGCAGCAGCAGCAGCAGGCGGGGCGGCGAAGCGTGGAGCAGCGCGGCGCAGCTTTGGCACGGTGCGGAGCTGCCTTGGAGCCGAATCCACTCTTTTTGCAAGCGGGGATTGAGAGCACGAGAGAGCGAGAATGGAGATTCGATGAAAATAATAGTAATTGTATAAATGATAATGCAACTGAGATTGAAACGGTCTGTGTGATCTCGAGAAGATAGAGGAGAGGAGACGACGCGCCGCCGGACGCCCCCCCCCCCTTTCCTCTGCTCCCCGACAGTCGTAGGCGGATTCGCCCGGCGTGTAGCGGCAAATTATTCTCGCGAAGAAAACTAGGTCTCTGCCGGGGCACTGCCTGCCAGACTGTCTCTGTTTTTTCCTTTCCCTTTTTTTATTTCCTACATTTCGTGGAAGAACTTCACAGAGACTTATGAATTACCCACCTTTATTATTTGCTATGAGAAAAAGAAGCAATATAGTCAAATTACTGGAGGGGTGTAGCAGAAAATAGAGAATCAAAGGGACAATCTTCTGAATTGAGCCAAAATTAAAAATATCCACTTTTTCGCGAAAACGAATTGGGGGGAAAAGTCGGATCTTTTAATCCTTTAATGGTTTTAGTGCCAAAGTGAGAAAGGTATAGGGGCTTCCAGAGGTTCTAATAATTGTTAGCGCCTTTATGGTTCCTAAGTGCCATAACAAAGGCATATTAACTCAGAAATACCCATGAAAAGTTTCGACTCAGCAGCTTTGCTTTTCGGTAGATGAATTAGCTTGAATCAAACCTAATTAGCATCCTACACTAACGTGTAAAAATGTGCATGCTTCCTACATTCTTTGAAGTTTTCTCAACTAATTTCAAAATAATGTGCGGAAGGATGAGGATGTGCAGCGATGTCAGACGGTGGCACCCCACCCCCCGCCCCCCTAGACCCCGCCAGCCTCTGCCTCAGCCACGGTGGATCTGGTTGGGCTGCTCCTCGGAAGCTAGGGCTAGGAGAGAGAGAGAGAGAGAGAGAGAGAGAGA